GAGAGAACAACCAGGTTACTTATAGGCAGAGCAGTCTGAGTCATCTGTTGCAAAAACAGTGAAAAGCCGACAGGGTAGGCACAGATAGGGCAAGACAGGTTTTTATCTTTCCTCATTTTTTGGTAAGATTATAGATTTGCTTGATCAAGAAAACCTAAGTAACAAACGTCAAAAACCAATTGTCAGAGGGAGTTGTATCTGAGCAGAGGTTCTTGGAAAGCTACCCTGGGACCATTACCAGGTTTAAGACGATTCAACATTTTCCTCACAGACACGGAAGCATGTACAAACTCACTGCTGATTATATTTGTGGACAACACGTAAGATGGCACTACGGTGAACAAAAGAACTAGGCTATCACATAAGAGTTCTGGAACAGCTGATAAAGCATACTGTTCAAAAGTTGGGTATTTTTTAATAGCCAAATCTCAGGTTATACATTCAAGAAAAGAATACAAAGCTGTACTGTCAACACTGGGAAAACAGCAGACTGAAAAATTACTGACTCTGAAAAAGGCATCAAGGTCATAACCGACAAGGAATTGAACACGAGATCCCAAACTTAACACTGTGACAAAATGTAACATGCTTCTTGGAAGCACAATCAATAGCATACAAAGAAAGAAGAGGGGATTTCACCCGTATATAGCTTACTGAAAGAAACCATTAACAGGGGTTTATCTCCTTAAAAGATTACAAATTAGTGAGGGGACTAAGGAAGACAGGCATAACACAAGATTTCAGGACAGCAATCCAAGCATTTAATAAAAAAAAAATATTGAGACGGTTTTTTTAGTTTTAAATTCAGTCCCAGCAAGAAAATACAAGATACTACTGACCTCTTTTGCAGAGCTATCCCCTCTTCTCCTGTAAGCGGACACTGAAGTCAAATTCTAATCACAAGAGAGACATGCACTTCTAATAGAGGGATTACTAGCTATTGAAATATACAATCAAATGAAGACATAGATTACATTTTATGCCTTTTTAAAGAGTCAATAACTTTCTCTAGCATAAAAACTTAACCTTCACAGGAGGTCAGACTAGATGAAGGGTAATAACTCTGTTACTGCTAATACAAAGCAGGAAGAAAGGGACACTTCACTGGATGTCCAGTCTCAGCTGATAAAGGGCTTTATGTGCTCTCTGTCTCTATATTGAGCAATGATTAAGACAACTGATAATCAGTTTCTATTACATCCATCTTCCTCAGTATGTTAGTGGTGCCAAGACCTAGAACATATTTTTTCTCACCCAGATTTCCAGAAACCATCCTGTTATAGCCATTAGAGAGCTGATACAGAATCAAAAACCTGAGACAAGGAATACCTAACATTAGACCACTGTGACCTATGTACCAGAAGGCTACAAAACTTCCCCCACCAAAAAAGTCTTAAAAATTTCTGCCATAAAAGGACAGAAAAATTCTATTTTCCTCATCCTTCATGACAATGAGGGACAACACAACACAATTCTACAGTAGCACAGTTTATCGTTGGAACTTGCAAATTATAAACCAATTTCTGTATTCACTATTTTTTCCCTAACTCCTTTTGAAGTAATAGTAGCAATATTGCAAAAATAGTTTCAGATATCTTGTTCTAAGTCACAAATATTTGCTTGTATCGTTTCCTCTGTTACTAGAAATCTTTAAGAAATTATTCCCTGCCATTTCATTGCAAGCCATTAGTACCTACATGCAAAGAAAAATATGACACCTGAAAGCTCTCATCAGGACAAACAAATCTCAGTTTGATATAAAAAATAATTTCAATGTTTATCTACTAAAATACGTTATTATTTGAAATATATCACCTGCTGCCAACATCGTTAAGCAGCTATTAAAATGCTAATTTTGTTGCTTCCTCTCCTTTCAATGTTTAAGGACATTATCAATCAACCTACTGTAAATCCTGAAAATAAAACATAGTCCACTTAAAGAAGCTGCTCTCCATGTTTACAGAATTTTCTTCCTACAGAGAATCAATTAAGTCATCATGGAGTGTACCACTTGCAGAAATAACTGGTTAATAATTGTCTACAGCAAAACCATTCCAGAGACAAACAATTCAGCATGTACATTTGGAAAAAGAAAAAGGAGAAAAGATCTTAAGGTTTATGGTTACTGCTCTGTTTATGATGGAAATTAAACTCTGTCATGCTCTTCTGCTTTAGACAATGAGATACATATTTAGAATAAATATATTCTAAATGACCACATATTAACGGCTAAGGCAGCATGAGTACTTGTGAAATTAATCATGTCAACAGAGCTGCTACAGATCTGTATTTCTAAGTTTTCCAACCAAAGGCTTAAGCAATAGATACTGCTTACCACCTACATTCTCTGGCTGCATTTTTAGAAGGTGATTTCACTTAGTGCTCTTCTTATGAGCAGATGTCAGTCTAGTTTGTTCCGGGCTTCCACTGAAATAATATAATTTTAAAAGTTTGCTTTGAAAAAAAGCATATCAATCCAACCTGCTACTCCCCAGAAACTTAAAACTGAAGAGAGAATATACAACCAACTTCTTATGCCAATCAGTGAAGAATGAAGCTCTTTGTAGTACAAAAGCATGCATTCGGGAAGCAGAAAAACTTTCAGAACAGATTTTTTTTAAGATGCTTTGTATTTCCTTTTAAAAGGCGTAACTTAAATAATAAATGCATGCATACTTAAACATCAACTCCTTTCTCTCACTTTTCAATGTAAGTATAGATGGGCCTTAATCAAACAGATTCTGCTTAAACAATGTGCTTATCACTTTGTACTAGCTTGAAAGAACAGAGTTATAAAGAATTTTCAAACGGGAGTAAATGACTATGGCCTACTATTTATCATAATAAACATGTGAGTAGCTCTGCAGTTACAGCTATGTAAATACTAAGCTGTTTGCAGGATTGGATGGTGGAGAGAACATGTTAATTGATGAAACTAGATGTAGTAACACCACAGACGGGTCCCAACACTGACATGAATCTCATCAGCATTCAGCACCTTTTGACTCTGCAACCATGCAAAACAAATGGGAGAAATTAGATCAGCAGTGAAAGGTTTTTGCAAACTCTGTCCTGTACTTAGTACAAATTATTGCATATATTTGCATATATTTGTGATTCTAAAACCAATAAGAGCCTTCTGGCGCCATTTCAACCTTTTGTCCTCAGCAGTCCAATTTCACAGGTTCAAATGCATTGCATGTTCAGTCTTGCAAAATCTACCATAGATCAGAAATGTGTATTTTTTAATAAAAGCACAAGGTGTAGCACAAGGCATGAGACTTTAAAACATCAAGAAACTCAAATAAAAACATTCTGTGTATTACGAAAAAATATGCACAAATTTACAGTACTTATGGCTTTCCATTAATGAAATAAATTATTTTTCACACAAGAAATGTTCGTAGCTCTCAAGTAGGACAGTGCTCAGAGTCCCAAGACAATTATATAATTAGTCATTTTTAGACAGAATATTATATTACACAACACTGGAACTGAACAATGATAGTCTCTCAAGCAAATCAGCATTTTAATACATATTATAAGCATTTTCATACTGTCCTATATAGCTTAGTGAACCACTAGGAAGTTCTGACACTAAGATTCTATTGGATCAAATAATACACGTAACGTACTCTGTTAAATTAATTATTTAACATGACTATATGCTTTAGCCAAGAAAAGAAGTTACTATGACTTTCTCCCCTCTCACTATTTCCTAATCTTCTTTCCAAACAGCTTGTCTGAAGTTATTTGAGTTTCCACATGTAAGAGTTACACTACTGTTTATTTCTTAAAGGCTTCAGAAGGTAGAGAAGGAGGTAGAGACCCTGAAGGAAGGAAAAAGAAATATTCTTCAGAAACAAGTTCCTAAACCAGTGAGTACGGGCCACAGTCACAGTTTAAGCCATATTTAACAACAGTTACTCCCATAAATACAGCTTTCTTACAGGGTGGGGCAAGAGAGACTAATTGATAGATGTTATCTACATCTTGAAGAACACTGTCATATGGCAGACAGATCTGCCACAGTCATCCTTGATCAAAGAAAAGCAAAACAATATTTTTCTCTAATAATTTCTTTGCTTTTTCACTGCAGCTGTTTCAAGAACTATACAGCAGTTTTAAGAAGTATATAGCAGAAACTAGTTACAATTTAAATTAACACGAATGGCAGTTTGAACATTTTACACCCATAGATGCGAACCAAAGAATTCAGAGAGAAGTGACAAAGTAAAAAACAGAAAAATGCTCACAAAGTACATCTGTGGAACACATTTTCCCACAAACACAATAAAGTCAAGATCATCATCCCTAGTTTGTATGTATGTTTGGATCAGTATTTATACACCTCCTTGGAACGTAATGCAGAAAGATCATTCAGGGTCATCTCAGAGGAACTTAAATACTGTTGTAAATACTTCTAGAACACAGTAATAGCAGCCATGGTCTCCTTAACTGTTGGCTTGAGGAAGCCCTTCCTCCCCCATACAAATATATACATAATTAGCTGCATCCTGGCATACAGCTTTCAAGTCATTGACTAGAATAATGGCATATGCTTGTGCTTGTACTTGTGACAATACAATGAAAGACAAATCAGACAACCTTTAATTCAGGGTAACCAAATTTTAATCTAATTGTTCAACAAGACTAGATTGTGCTAATAACCAGGTACATCAATCATGACATTAAAAGGAACTTGTAGAAAGAGGAAAGAGGTGCCACCCTTGTACATGTGGCACTGCAAAAACATTGCCACTCCTACCTATTAGTGCACATTTACTGGGTAACAAACTCATTGGGAAGGAAGCAGCTCGCACATACATTTTACAGTCTTGGTCAACTTGTCACCTCTGAAAACAGCTCTATCCTGAGGCTTCCTCTGGGATATCAGTCAAGTGAACTCCCAGTTCCACATCTTGTCTTATTTGTAATAGTAAAACATGATCAGAACTAGTAAAACCACAAAAGACAACTTCACTTCAAAACAGAATGGTAACTTCTGCAGCTTAATCTGTATTTTACATATTTGATTGCAAGTGCATGACAAGTACCCATTTTGGCCAGAACTTGCAGTTTTATGCTTGCCCTCTTTTTAACATTTAAATGCACATCCACATCAATCTACTGAATAACTCAGGAGTAGATACCTTCCATGAAAATACCGCATGAAAGGATGCCGCAGATACAATCATCTTACTTTAGTCTCTGTTTTGCTTAAAGCACTGATGAACCCTGATTTCCCATGGCTGGGTCTCTTCATGAGGACTTCAGTATCCCTTCCTTCCTCTGAATCTTGCCCTGGTATCCAACTGAAAATTGAAGTCAATATATTAAAATCATACACTTTGCAAAAGAAATACTTAAGAGTGCTTGTGCTATCTTGGCATTTTGTGACATCAGAAGAAAGCAGAGAATAAAGCAGAAGTCACTGTAAAGAAAATTAGTGATGTAGCCAACAAGCCATAGGGTTCACCCAATGAAACAGACATTGTATCATCTTAAATCTCACACAAAATCTAAATTATGTGAAATAAACAGCAGAACCACACAAATGACAAAAAAGCACAGCGGGATGGCAAAGAACACATGAAAACAACGTAGTGTAGATCTGCTTAGATGTGTTTTTCCAAAGTTAACTGACAAGCTGAAGGAGGAAAATTCAGATTGGGTTGAAGTGGGAGTCACTGCAAATGTCAGTGAGGACAGCAATAACTTAAATATGAGAGTCTGAAAAAAAAATTATCAGTAAAAATTGAAATAATATTCAGCTTGTAAAACCTCTAAGTTTCTTCTTGGCAGTGAAAAAAAAAGCATTTAAAGGAAGTAGTTACAGGGCAGCACTTAGTGAACCTAAATTGCAAATTCTTTCCCAGAGCAGCAGACAAATATACTTTGATCTAGGGAGAATTCTTCTGAATTCAGTCTATCTTGAAGATGGCAGTTACAGATTGCAATACAGTCACGTTCAGATATTAGACTGTGTACATATCTTTTACCTCCCTCAACTAATCCTCTTTCAGAATTCAGAACTGCAGCAACATTTGTAAAGAGCTAAACTGCAAGATGGCATGGCTTGTCCAATAACCAAGAAGCTTCCACTTTAAACCTTGTTCTTACTTTAATATCTGAAGTGTACTAAAGTTTAATCTTCTGATAGAGATTATATTTCCTTACAAAGAAAACAGCATCTGGGCAAAACCCCTAATGATTTCAGCGTATTGTAAATTATACTGCATTTAGTGTCTAACTTGTTTTTAAATACTCTTTAAGCCTCATTGTTATACCAAGTAACAACTTTAGCAGAGTGCAATTACTGGAATTTATGGAGGTAACAGGACAAGAAAAATTTAATTCTTCAGTCTTAGAATTTGGAGCAGTTAAATACAATCATAAGAGCCAAGCCTCTTCCTGCATTAAACTTGAGTTTCATCAGGCTCCCTTAACGATCTACAGACAGAAATGCAGGCCCATCATCTGGAGATACATATATTGTTACTGTAACATCAAATAGGTATTTCAAGCGTTAAATACACAGCATTTTTTCCTGTCCACAGAAATGATAGTGTCACTTCACGAATTAACGCAGTGCATATAGGAGAGGTCCAAAATGCTGCTATGACTTCAGCAAAATACAGAATGGAAAAAAAAATTTAGGTACAGTTTCAGCTGTATATTCCTCATTATGTATCACATTGGCTAAAAATAAAGAGAAGCCCGGTACCACTCATGCTTAGAAAGTTATGATAACATCGTTACCACATCTTAACTATTTTCTAAGTGTTATGGAAACACAAGCAAGATGTTTCCGGACAAGGAACTCCTATCAAAATAGGGGAAACTTTATCTAATTACATTTTTAAAACTGACTTCTCACTATAATACTTAATAGCTTGCTATATGAAAAATAAACCCCAAGAAAATTAATGATAGCATAACCTAAATGCAAGAGCCTGCTTCAACACTGAAAGTCTCTTTCAATAGGACATACTTCTCACTTAAACGTTCTCTATATACATCTCTTCCAATGACCTCAGAGACAAAAGTTAGTTTGTCAATATCTTAACTTACAATTACCTGGTCTACTAAGATTGTTAAAACTAAACCTTTACTAAAAACAATAATAAGAACACCTACCTTATTTACCTGTCACGTTCTAAGCCTTATTAAAATTAAATATGATTTTTTTCCATCTTTTTGATACTCTATAACTTTGTTCTTCTTCATGAGAACAGTGTACAGTATCCATATTTTAAATGGAATTCAAAGGCAAGACCTGTTCTGCCTCACGACACCAGTTTTACTGAAATAGTTTTCTTCAGAGAACAGGGAAAAGGCCAGAAAGCATCCAGATCGCCAGGAGAAAACACACCACACACACTTACCATTGATCTTTTGCATGCAAAAAATGTCATTTGCAAACTCCTACAGTGTCCTTCCCTCAAGCATTGTTTAGGGCTTTTGTTTTCCTGTTTGATGAAAAATAAAAGGATTAAAAACTTAATGGATTTCTGCACCTTGTCAAAGAGACATCAAAATACTTCAGACAATGTTTACTCGGAATTTTGCTATGGTGTAGTGATTTGTGCTTTCTTTTCAAGTTACCATTTCTTAACCTGCTTAAAACACGAATTAACAGGCTTGAAAGGGACAAAATAACAGCTTTTCGCCCCCGAGGGCTCGTT